CATTTAATTATATTAATAATTTTTCTAATTTAATTTTCTTTGCAATTATTTTTAATTTGTATTTTATTTTAATAATTGATTTTTTTGATTTTAGATTTAATTTTTTTTTTGATTATAGATTACATTTTTTTTAAATAGCAAATTAAAAAAATATATATATAAAAAAATCATGGATATTAATTAAAAAATATTATTTAAATTTAAATTTTTTTTTAATTTTTAAATTGTTATTTAATCTTATTTAATACTCTTATTATATTTATTAATTTTTAATAATTTATTAACTTTTTATATTTTAAAATTAAAATTTATTTTTTAATTTAATTTTTTATTTAGTTTTTTTAATAAGCATTTTATATACTTTTTATTCTATTTAAATTTAAATAAAATGATTAAAAGTCATTAAATAGCATAAAAAAGTGAATTAATGTATTATTAGCATTACAAACTTCACGAATATTAATCTTATCTTAACAAAAATTGAGATTTGAGTATTTTTGAACCTTCTGAATAACTTTACTTAGATTACAAAAGGCGATTTTCTTGAACTAAAATGCTGAAATAATACAAAATATTAAAAAGTGAATTTGTGTATCATTAGCGTTATGAACTTTACAAATATTAAAACCACCTTGACAAAAATTAAGATTTGAGTATTTTTAGACTATCTGAATAACTTTACTTAGATTATAAAAGGCGATTTACTTGAACTAAAGTGTCAAAATAATGCAAAATTTTAAAAAAGTTAATTTGTGTATCATTAGTATTACGAACTTCAAGAATATTAAATCCATCTTGACAAAAATTGAGATTTAAATAATTTTAAACTTGCTGAACAACTTTACTTAAGATATCCTTATATGTTTTATTTGACCAAAGTTTCTATATTTTACCTGAATAAAAAAAAGTAAGAGAATTTTATTTGCAAAAAATACTACTTAAAATTTTTTTCTGTGATCTGAAATGTACAAAATTATTGATAATTAAACAGTCATATTATATTTAATTCTATTTTGATATTTGTGTTTTTTTTTTTAAAAAAAAAGATCATATTGATTACAGTATTTACAAATATACAAAAATTTTGTAACACAAAAAAACAAATTGATAAAATATAAATAAATGTGATGCAAATAATAATTTTTATGCCAAAGATATTTTTTAACAAAATAAAATGGATCAACAAAGATTAGCGAAATTAATAAAAATATATTTTATTTAAAATATGATGGTTAAATTTAACAAACACAATATAAAAGTGCTACAGAAAAGCTTAAATCTCAAATTTATTCTAATGATAACATAGTAGCATAGCTATAGTTGCAGCTGCAACTATAGCAGTAGCTATAGCTGTAGCTTATAAAACAGCTATATAAATTTTAAATTCAATGTTTACGAAATGCATTACTAAAATCAATTAAAATATATAGAGATTGCTAAAGATCTGTATAACTAAAAAACAACTTAAGCAAAAAAGTGAATAAATGCAAAAATGATTATCAAAAATTCATAACTTCAAAAGTATATTTTCATCAAAAAAGAAAAAAAATAAAGTAAATATTTGGAACTTTTTTACTGGTATAATTATTAATAATATACTAGTGATATTTTATATAGATAGTAATTCTGTAATAATACTTAATACTATACATATCGATATTATAAATAATAAAGATAGTAGAATTTTTAAAAATTGTCAAAGATCTAAAAAGATGAGTTCAAATAGTAAAAAAGTTAGAGTAGTTTTTGAAGACTCTTCTCATAAAACTATAGTAATACCTAGAATAATTGATGACTAGTATTATAATATAAACAGCATTGATATAATTAACTAATTATAAAGTTATTATTTAACACAATTGATCATTAATTAAATTTGAATACCATTATTTTTTTAAATACTAAATATATCTATTATCAATTCTTATTTCATTAGTAAGATAGAAATAACAAAAGTCATAAAACTTTTAGGTTAGAATAGATTCATAAATTAATTAATAATTCTTTAAATATAATAACTCTTTAAAAGAACTACTTGTAATGATAATTATAACTAATCAGATAAAATAGAAAAGATGCTTAATAAAAAATACCAAGAGAATTTATGTATTAGATTCATTTAAATTACCATTATATATATTAAATAATAATAGGTATTTTTAAGCTCTAAATACTATATTATTAGGATAACAAATTAATGATTTATATTTTAAAAAATTAGATATTAACAAAAGTATAAGTTTTACATTATTAAGATTATACTTTATTGAGTTATAAGATAGAAATTTATTCCTTTGCTAAGGTATGATATTTATATAAAATACTAATAATAATAGTAAATAAAATAATGATAAATAATAAAATAAATATAATAAATAAAATAATAATAACTATGATAACAGTAAAATCAGTAATAATAGTAATTACATTTTTCATGAAAATTATTGGTAATCTTAATTGATATAGTTATTTAGTTATACATATGGATTATTACTAATATTATTATATGAAATATAAAGAAATAAGAGAAATGTATTTATGATATCACTATCAACATAAAAAAAATATTAGAAAAGCATTACAGAATTCTTAGTAATCAAATTATTAGTGTATTAAATATAATATTTCATTATGCTACAATAAAAGTCAACAAATATATTTTAAAGACTTTATAAATTAAAGAATAAATTGGTAGCATTTTATTAATTTTTAATATATTAAAGATAAAATTATATTTATTGAAAAATTTAAATTTTATAAATAATTAAGTTACTTTAGTTGTTATAAATTTTATTATTTTATTTATTAAAAATAAAAAAAAATTATGAATATAAAATTTAAAAAATATATCATTTATCATAATTTGTAAAATGTATTAAATTTTTTAATAACAATTGAAATTTCAGAATTTTGTAGATAAATATGCTTATAAATCTTACACTTTAAAGAATAGCGAATAGTATAATTTAAATTTATTTAATAGATTTTTTTATTACTTTTTCAACATCATTTATTGTATTAACTTTTATTTTTTAAAAAAGAACTTTAATATTACTAAAATATCTATTTAGTAAAAATTTTATATATTCTAAAACTATAAAACTAACTTTAATAATTTTATACTTTCCTAACTGTTAATTAAAACCAAAAAAAATAAGGGAAATTGATTTTATTTTGAGCTATATAATTGTTATAAGTTATTTTTAAATACTATTTTCTTTGATAAAATTTGTTTAAAGCATTATTTATATTAATTTCTTTTTTTATAGAACTATTTAGAAATTAATCTTCATCAATTAAATAATTTAGTTATTAGTTTTTTTTTGTATTATATACTTTAAAAAATGTATTGTAAATGCTATTTTAAAATAAATTTATTTAATTTATTGTGATAAAAAGAAATAAGAATATTTTTTTATCTAATCATAATAAATGTGAGCTATTTCTTTAGATGTACTACAAGTTATCATATTATTTTTATAATATTGATACTCCTTTTCTGCTTTATTTTGATGATTTTTCAAATCTAATACTGCTCTATTTTTTTTCAATATTTTTTGCATATTGAATAATTTTTTTAATATTTTACATTGTTACAAAGCAATTAACTAATAATAATAAAGTTACATGAATGATATAATATGATGATTTTTTAATTTATCATTCTGAAAATACTGAGAATTCTGTAAATTCTGAAAATACGAAGGATTTACAAATTCTGCAGATTTTTTAAATACTGATGATAATCCTAATTTCATAAATTAAATGAAGTCTAAAAATATCTAATGTTATATTTATTTGTAATATCTTTTTACTATTATTTTTATTTATTATATATTTTTATTATTTTATATATTTTTTATTATCTTTAGTATATTTGGTTTACTTATATTTATTTTTTCAATTAGTTAGTTTATAGCATAATAAATAATTAGCTGTAATAAAAAAATTTTGTATAAATAGATAAATTGTTTGCTTATATTATAAATTAACTCTTTTACAGATTTGTAAATTCTTTTGCGAATATGAATTTCAAATAATTGGCCCATTAAAACAAAATTCAACTGTATTTTTTCCAAATTTTAAAATTCTAAATGTTTTAAGAAAAGCTTCAAATCCAATTTTTTCAAAACATTTTTCTTTTTTTATTTCAACAAGTACAAGTAGCAGAAGAGAAAAATTGTTGTAAATTATTAATAGCCTTTTGCATAAATTCATTATCTTCATACTGTTCTAAAAAAGTATATTTGATATAAAGAGGATATTTATTTTCTTTATCATTATCTTTATTAATGGTAAATACAAAAATTATTATGTATAACAAAAAACATTGATTGACAAACTGCATATTATTCTAAAAATAAACTTAAATTTAAGGGGTAAATAAATAAGTTAATGTTATGTTGATCAGTGAATTTCTCAAAAAAGTGAAATATTCTCGGAGGTACATTTTGCTAGTCCATGACCCAAATGAGAATTTTGACGGTCTAATTGCTTGCTTTGTTAATAAGATAATCGACTATAAAATTTACTAAATAAAATTCATATATCTCATATTTTTTTGGATGGGTCCCATAATCTGATTTTAATAGCTTTGCTTTCATATGTTTGCATCATCATGATAGTTTGTCGGATGTCCACTATATTTTGAATTTTGCTGATCAGATCTCCTGATCATCCGGTACCCGGATCGACCCGGGTCAAGCAAAATCTTATACGATTGACGAAAATCATTATTTTTCGCAGCACAAAAGCATTGTACCAGCTTTTTTGATTACAATTGCGTGAATATTAATTAGATAAATGTACGACACAAAGCGAATTTTCGTAGAATTATTGTTGATTCTAGTTTTCAAAATGATAGTTACCTCATCTTTTAAATTAATTATTGGATGGTTTTCATATTTAGTTTCAAATATTTGAATATCTAGCTTTAATTTTCTTAGCATTGTTTTTTTTTATTAACATAAAGTTTAAAAAAGTTTGTAAACAAAAAAAGAATGACGACCAAATTTGGTATCATAAATCGCAGATCATGATTAAAGAATAGTTTTCTCAGAATGGAAACAGTATATTTTTTCTTATAAAAAGGCACTGATTTCAATTTACTCTGAATTTAAGAATTCGAAAACTAATATCAGCAAAAAAAAATAATAAAGTAACCTCTCAAAAAAATTATAATCATGAACCGAAAATTTATTTTTGCATTCCTCTTATTGGTCACACTCACCATGGTCAATGGTCAATGCAGTTCCACATTTAAGAAGCATCTCAAGCTTTCTTCCATGTCCCCCACCAGTAATTAAGACCCCAGTACCCGTACTCCAAGTATCACATTCAACCGATCCTGGACAAAATAATGTATTTACTGTTTCCGGAAAATTTACAAAAGATGTTACCGATCAAACCAAACTTGCGGTTGCATTTGTTAATAGTAGTAATAAACTTGTAGAAGATCCTACTACAGTTCCTGCTTGTACTGGAAGTGGATGTCCAATTAAAGCTGGTGACCAATATACTCAAACGATGGAAATTCACGAACCAGGAAACTTAACTTTTGATTACATTTTGGCATTTGGTGTCGGAAATTCAGTAACTGATCTTTTAGGCTGTGCATATGCTCTTGTTCTTGGGTGACTCTGTTAGAATTTTACGATTTTTGATTTTTTTTTGATTTTGATAATCTTGAAAAAAAGAGGATCAATTCATTTATTTTTTCATTAACTACTTATTTAAATATGTAATAATTTTTTAGCAAATAAATTCACAGCAGTTCGTTCATTTTTTAATTCTTTGTTTCGTGTTAGCCGTTGATCTTTGTAATATCATTATTATTGTTCATATACAGTATATCGCTCGCAATCAATGTTGTATATTATTAAAAATTATTTTCATGCATTGATTGATAAAGCATAGACAAAATCCGCTGTATTCGCAATTTAAACATCATTTTTTTAGCTTCAAAAATTCGGATTCTATGGTAGCAATTTTATGTATAACATTGTATTTAAAATCATATTTTGATTGTTTGATCTCCCTTTCTTACTTTCTTTATCTACAAGACATATTTTAAACATTTTCGCGCCTATATTCAAAAAAATTTGCCCAAAAATTTTTATAAAACCAGTATGCTTCCACCGCTTTATTTTGTTAAATTTTTATGCACATCGTTGAACCTGAGATCTTTACTCATAACCTTACACGAAAGTAATTGACGAATATGTATTTGGTAATTGCGTTCGTATTATCTACGCGAGTTTCCGATGAATATGTATTATTAATTATTAAAGATTATTCTTTAAAAACCTTTTCACAACTAACACGATAATACATTATTTACCGTTAGTGAAGCATCCTTGATCCCCTTTTTGAAATTTTTACGTCGACCACATGGAATGTACCAAATCTATATTTCTTATTTAATTAAATTTTAGTTTCAAGTTATAAATTCATGTAATAGGAAAAAACAATTCAAGTTCGTTAGAACTATTATACAATAAAATCAAGCTGAGTCGAAATATATTATATTCAACTCGAGCCTGCAGTGGAACTTTATTCATATCCATTAAGACAACTTTGATATAGCGTATGTAAACTGAAAACTCTATCTAAATTAGTATTATTATTACGTCACATGATATAAATAAAACAAGTTATTGTATAAAAGTCAACATATTCTAAACAAAATTTTATTTGCTGCAAAAAAAAAATGAGTTACAAAACAATAAAAGCATTAACTAAGGGATTATTTCATAAAAAGTTACAAATAACTAATTCTTTAATATATTTTTTTTAATAAGATATGTGAAAATCTTTTATCGAAATTTTTAATCATAAATGTTCAAGTTATACTTTATCATATTAAGAAACTATCTATTTGTTTAAATTTACAAATTATAAACATTGAGCATCAGACTGTATTTTCAAACTAACTACTGTACTCGATTTCTTATGGGAATGAAATCTGATATAGTTTTATTGAAATTAGTAACTATACGTTGAACTATATTTTATTAATAATGGAAGGCCTTTCGTAATTGCAGTCTGCGCGATCGAGAGCGCAAATTAATATAATGCTAAAATAATATTTTCTCTCATATCTCTATCACGAAAAACCACAATTAGTCCACAAATAAATAAGAAATGATTATTTTTTTTATCACCCCTCCCTTCCTGGTTATTTTATTTGAAATGTACATGCTGCATGTGCAATATAGTTGAACATCAGCATCATTGATTTTCATTTCAGAAAGACTCGCACTTGATGATCCAGAATCAAAAATGATCTACAAGGACTAACTATAATTATTGACAAGCGAAAATCATGATCTATCGGGTGGAATTATTCCAAATGTATAATAATTATTGATAATTTTGTGAATGAATATTTCGGAATGAGTAATAACCCAAAAAGACAAAGCCAACATATTCTATCTTTTTATTAAATTGACTTTAGAATATTCTTTTAACGATATTTTTGTTATTTTGTTTTCAACTTTTATCATTAATTCATCATATGCGTAGGGCATTTAATTGATGAAAAAAATCATAATCGATGATTTGATCGGTCCCTCACTCACATGATCGATAAAAATCGAATTAGGTGTGATCAATTTCTTAATCGAATGAATGTATTGTTCGATCAAACAATAAAAGTGAATTTCGATTTTAAATTGATTTTCGTTTGAAGTTGGAATTCAGACGATCTTTGAGTGTCTGAAATTGAGATTCGAAGATCAGTTAACTGAAATTGGGATACCCTTTTTGTTATCTGAATTTCAATGATCTTATTGGTCAATTTCTGTGTAACGATTTTAATTTCAGTTATCTGAAATAGAGTTTCAGATAGAATCTGAATTTCAGATACGAGGCCATCTAAAAATTACTCTATTATAATAAAAAATTAACTCTATAATTAAATTTGAAAATATTTATAAAAATTAAGTAAATTTATTTTAAAATTCGTCTTCAGCTTCAAAATCGAATAATAATACAGGTAACTTATAAAGGTAGGAGTTCCTTTTCTATTTGCTTTTTGCTATTTAAAAAAATAAAAAGGAAAAAAAAAGTGAATATTTTTAATATATTCTTTTAATTGAATGAATATATTTGCTTTTCAGATTGATCACTTTGATCTAAAGTTTAAAAAAACCTAAAAATAGATGAAAATATAAATGAATAAAATTACTTATTTAACTGATACAGCATCTAAAGTGGTCAAAAAACCTGCATGAAAATAAAATAGAAATAAAATAAA